GACAAGTAATTAAAGATAGAGGGAGTATTAGCCTTGAAAATATACACTTGACCAACATAGAAAAAACTAAGTGAATAATTCATGTTCATTGATTGAAAAATTGACTTAAAAAAATTAAATAAAAATAAAATAATAAATTTACTTAATTTCTTAATATATTGAAATAAAATAGTAAAATATAAATAGAAACGGAAGTATCAGCTTCCTCAATGCTGGTGTTTAATTATTTATATATGAATATGATGATGGCATTTCCCAAGAAGCGAAGTCACGTGATCATGTTATCGATGAAGTGGTCGGTGAGAGGTTCCATTCCTTTCTAACCAACTTTTAATTCTAGGTATGCACTTCTTTCGTTTTATAATATTATTTGCCTTATCTTGATTTCTCATTAAGAGTGTATCCGTTAAACTAAGTGTCTGTTTGAATTGACTTAAAAAAATAGCTTTTAAGTTAAAAATAAAAAGTTAAACTAGAATAACTTTTAAGTCAAAAAATAAAAAGTATGAAAAGACCTGTTTTTGGTTTTTAACTTATTTTAAGTCATTTTGGACCTTGCCAAACACTCCTTAACTTATTAAAAGTTATTTTTGAATTATTTTAAGTTATTTTTTATATTTGTCAAACATTTCCAGAAGTCAAAAACTAACTTAAAAGTAGGTTTGACCAACTTTTAAGTCAATCCAAACACCCTAACTTCAATAATGATATTTTGAAATTTTAAATTTAATTTTTATTATTTTATCTGGTTATTATATATTTTTATAAATATAAAATAAATTTTCTCAATTTTTTTAAAATTGGACAAGTAAAATGAATTATTTATCTTTGATACGGGAGCGAGGGAATATGAAATTGAAGAGTCAAAAAAATTAATCAAAATTGCGGATAATCAAACTAGGTGTCAACATACAAGTGTCCCGTTTTTTGGTTAGGGTTGATGAAAGAGAGTTTGAACAAAGAAAATTGACAGATTCAATTTTATCGAACCACTAATTTATCACTTGGAAAAAGTAATTGATATATGAAATTTAAGAATTTTTTTTTATTAAATTCGATACTAAATTCTTTACATATCTCATATTATGTGAGTTACTTATATACAATTCAAGATGCTTGATTTAAAACATGATTTTAAAGATTTAAAACCTATTATTCCAACTTTGGATTATGGAGAGACAAAGAGCTTCAGAGTTATAAGACGAGTAGAGGTTTCTTTAAATACAATTAAATTTTGAATATTGAATTCAACCTACATATCTCAAAATTTGTGAAATTAAATTACTTGTAGTTTAACTTAGTCGATTAAAAAAATTTCTTATGCTAAAACGGTCTTTAGCTTAAAATGAATGACAAATAAATTGAACATGAAAAAGAGTCTTACAACCTCTTAATTATACATAATGTGCACTTCACATTGATCATAAGATACAAGTTACATGAACATAATCTCCACAGCTCAAGGTGCTTGGGAGAGCCATTTTAAATATTTTGGTTATCCAATCATTATGTAATGGGCCGGAATGATTACTTGTTTTTTTTTAAATTATTTTATCTATTATTTATTCGGTTTTATTTATTTTTTAAAAGTCATTCAATTTTATTCAATAAATAACTTTCATAGTCATTCAACTTTACTTATTTCATTTTCATGATCATTTTAGTAGAAAAATACAATTTTCAAAAGAAAGTTATTTAAAAAATTAAAAAATTAATTAGTAGTTAGATTTATTTAGAATCCAAACAACTAAATTTGATCCAATTCTTGACTTTTAAAATGATTGACCATCTAAACGACATTCTTAATAACATTCAATTACTTAAAAAGTGATTACTTAATTTGATATTTTTCCAAAGTTAGAAATCATATATGAGCTCAATATCGAGTAAAATAAGTAGACAAATGAGTCTAGATCTATATTTTAATTTTAAAAAATTATATATCAAAATCGATCACAAAAAACTAGTAATCCTCTATATGCCTAGTCCAAATTTCTAAACCAACATGAGATAATCTAACAACAAAGAAAAACATGGGTGTTTGAAGAAAAGCAAAGGAGTATTTTGAGACAACTTGTTCCCTTCAACCATTTTTTAGTAATGTAAATATGTAATATTACTTCGTTTTTTCTTTTTTGGGGAGGCATTAAAGGGAATATATATTAAACAACCTATTTATTACATGTAATATTACTTGTTAAATGTAATTAACCTAGACTTCAAAAAGGTTTATTTAAGACGTCCATTTCAACTTTATGTTTGGAACATATATAGGACCAGCTAAATATATATGATAGTATTAATTTGACATCTTTAATTATATTATAGCATCATGCAAGTATATCGTTTATTAGGCAGGTTTCATGCTTTATCTATGTGAAACGAATAAATTCCCTACTTTGTATATATGATGAATATTGTAATATTGCAAATGTTCAATACCGAATATTTTCTCTTCGCATGTCTTCAGTATGAAATAAAATATTTCTTATGAAAAAAAAAAAGTTTCCTTGGTTAGGAAAATATTCTTAGAAAAAATGGAAAATAAGTTGTTTCTTACTTATTTGGGATGTGGTTGAATATGAGGTGTACGTGTTGTAGGTAGGAGAAGACAGTTAGAATGTGTTTGGTATGAAGGAAAATGTTTTCATGAAAAATGTTTTCCTAAAAAATGTCTTCTTGGAAAACAAGTGGATTTCTAACTTATTTTCTCACATGTTTAATGCGAGATGTTTTGTGCATCAAGTTATCCTTTTTTTGTAATAGTAGTGTGAAAATGAAGATGCTATTTTTTGAGATATTTTTAGAGACTATGAAGAAATGATCCAAAAATATTCAGGCAAGATGAAATTTATGTCAAAATTCATAATAGAATTACGGAAAAATGTTGAGAAAGACTAGATATATCTCGTAAGTTTTTAAATTAAATTTCCTTTAGAAAAGGTACGTTTGATACATTAAGCTTAAGTTATGTGAGGAGAGAAAAACTCGAACTAAGTTGTATCTATTATGGACAATTCTATCTTACACTCTTGCAAGATATTGTTTTCACGGCTTGGCCAACGCCGTAAACTCCTGCTAAAATAGTGAGCATTTTTACAAAGGAGAATATATTTGTTTGATTTGATTATCAATAATTCATTTAATTAATAAGGCCAAGTAGGCACATACACGATCAAAATATATATATATATATATATCTCCTGCTTGAAAGGTGCCTATTACTTATCTAAGAAGTAGTGTTACTTATAAATACGTAGTGTGGATTAGTCATAACATGTGAGAAAAAGGTAGAGAAACAAATTAAAAATGGAGAAAAAATACTTATTAATAAGATTAGAGGAAGGTAGATAGATGTTTCATGCTCACTAAAATAAGTTTAAATTATGATATACTAATTAAGTGGCCGTGCAAAGCATATAACCATATAGGTACGTACTCAAAGCATATATAGGATTATATAAGTAGAATTCTTTAATATTAAGATAGAAAACTAATACTTCTTTTTGTTTCAATTAATGTGATATCTTTTTTTTAGTCAATAAATATTCCCTATTTAATGGCACAATCCTCATTTTTCATCCTTATTGAGTTTGAGTTAATACTTTTTTGTGAAGAAAAGTCAACTAAGAGTAAGCACTAAAATAACTTTAATAAGTACAAACACATAACAAAGTCTTTTCTTATGTCTGGTCAAGCCGTTCACGTAAATTAAAACGGAAGGAGAAGTGAATAAGTTTTAAGTGAGATATAATAAAGTTTCTTCTTCTCATTACTTTTCATTTTAAAATATAGAGGAACGTGACTGTAAGAACTTAGAAGGGAAACTGACTTCTAGTTTAAGTATTGATATTGATAAATGGCATTGAGTTGATAGCCCTTCGATTAATCAAACGGGTGTTATCAAAACACCCCCGGCCTGTTATTTCAGGATTATAATTGGCATATGTTAGTTAAAGAGGCAAAAATCAAACTCAATCTGCTAATTTGTTTGAATTTGGGCGGGATAATAATTTGTACATTTATAAGCTCAATTCATTGAGAAAGACGAACTAATGCAATATATAAATTTTGTATAAACAGTGAATATAAATGTATATACATTTCTAATATATGGTTATAGATCATACATTCACAGTTATACATTATTATACAATATCGATATATTATACTATATAAATTCAGCCATTTAATTGAATTTTTTTTATCATATGATATATTGCGCTAGTCTTTTTAGCAGGACTTTAACCCTAGAAAATAGGACTTCAAAAATTTGTGATTGTAAAATTAGTTAAATGTAGAACTTCCCGTAATTTTTAGTAATATACATATGAAGATTTATTTGTGGATGTTTAAAATGCTTATTGGTATCTTTAATAAATGTTGGATTAAGTAATTGCTTTCTGCTTCACTAAGATTTGTCTCGTCAAACCGACATCTTTTACCAAATAAAAACAGAATCCAAGAACACAAAGAAAGGAAAATAACACAGAAAAAAAGAGGTCAAGTTATATGCATTAATGAGGCAAACAATATTCTATAATTTATACAATCACATCACTCATTACATAATTATAGATAAATTATTTTTATAAACATTACTTGGTAATTGAAAATTTGATAAAAATGATATTTGATTTGCTATTATATAACATTACTCACTGATTGTGAAAAATACTATTCTTGGTTTAAGTTAGAATAGGTTATATATAGTTCCACTAGATTCTCGCGAGATAGCTTTTGTAGTTGAGTTATGTTCCAGTGTCATATTATCAGAGTCGGATTATTCTCCGTTTGACATCCCAATCCACTTAGAATGGGTTACAATCTCACATTAATTGAGGAATAGACTGATGATTTGCTTATATAGATTTGGGCAATCCTCTTTTTACCGCTTATCCTTTAAGCATGTAATGCATTCAAATTTCAAAATTACAATGAAAATAACCAACCATACACATTAGAGAAACCGACCAGCTAATCTTTTTTTTTTTTTTTTTTTTTTGAACTGTAAATTATAGAGTACAAACACATATCAAAGCTAATGTTAGATACTAATTGATACATAACATTCATATTAGCAGCAATCTCTATTTGATCTACAACAACATGACTACATTATCTTGATGTGGCACATATCCACATAGTTAAGACCATTCATAGCCTAATTTGATGCTGCATCCATCCTCAATGACTTTAAATTAATGATCTCCCTGTCCAAAAAGAAAAAAAAAGATACATTGAAATGATCAAGTCAAACAATTAATCACATGCACTTTAACTAAAGTTAATAAGCTAGTAATAATTCCTTCCATTTTCCTCCTTTACTACTTTTTCTTTTGCTCATTCTTTTAAAGTGAAATTTGTCATGGAGTATTTTTATTATTTTAATAGAAACAAGAAAATAAGAAACAAAAAAAGGGAAAAAGTTATAATTTCACCTTCTTGAGGGTGATGTAATCCACAATTTTGTTTTTGGTTTTTCCATCTGGAGAGTGAGACTTTTGGTGGATATATGAAGATCCATATTTCTTGATGAGTTTTTCCCTCACAAATTTGTTATAGATAAAAGCAGCTCCTCTGAATTGGGGAAGAACCAACCATGCCACCATTCCCAATTTCACCTCATACCAAATTGGTATCCTACCAATATATGCACCCAAATTAACATGGACAGTCTTGTACACAAAATATTTTTCATTAGTAGGGTCCGAATAAGAATCACACCCCAAGAGGTGTAAAACATGATTTTCTCATTTATTTTTCACTGAACCAGTTCATTGAGAAAACGTATAATGTTAACAAATTCTCACCTATTCAATCTAGATATATGTATGTAGGGATCGCCACTAAACCAGTTCATTGAATTAAAATCAATGTTTTTGCTCGGAGGAACAATTGAAAAGTTTAATGAATTACCATTGTAGAATAGGTTGAAGAAGCATCTCCATAAGAGTAAGAAAAGAGTATAGAATCCAATAAGCAAGCCATTGTTCATCATCCAACTTTGATGTGCTCTCTATTGCTACTACTGATGCATATCTACAAAAAACTTTTCATACACGATAATTATATATATAACAAATGTTTTATTTAATAAACAGATGAATTACTTACAAAGGATAGAGTAACATCACCACTGGCCTGCATGCATATTTATTCAAATACAAAATCAGTATTATTATATGGTTAAACTAAAAAGATTAATGAAAGAGGTTAGTAAATTAGTACCCGGCAAGAGCATGGAGGTGAGTAAGCAAAGCCCACAATTTGCTCATAATTATTCTAGCCAACTGAAATAAAAGAACAAAAGATTGGAATTCAAATAATTGATGGAGACAACATATTTATAGTGGCATTTGATTCTGCTCTTTGACGTGACGTTCTAGGTTTTCCACCGACCAACTCCATTTAAAACTTTACGTACCGACACAATCTAAGTTTTCTTAAACCAAATCTAACATAATAAATTAATTAAACAAGGTAAAGTCACAGTGGTCCAATAAGTAATTAGCTTAGCTTGGAGGGAAAATGTACGGTTAAAAAAGATAACTTACCAGAGGCGGAGTCAGAATTTGATGTTTGTAAGTTTTAAATTTTAAAACAGAACAACATATTAGCCTATAAGCATATCATTATAATTGCACTCAACAAGTTGTTATGTTTTGAAAACAGAAATGATGCATCATTTGGTACACTTTCAAATACTTCATTTATTAATATGAAGATTTGAGTTATTTATTTCAAAGTTCTAAAATAATATTTGGTAAAAAGTAGATAAGTGTTATGTTTTAGTATAAATTTTGAACATTTTTTTCTATAATCTCAATATTATTTTAAGTAAAATTAAAATTATTAAATTCACCATTAATATTTTTGGAACTTAAAGGGAAGGTTTTACTTGCTTCACTCTTGAGCCACTAAAAGTTGAAGTTCCCAGAAGCAAACAATAACTTAATTAATATAATCAATTATTAATACGGAGCAGTCCTAAAATCAAAGATTAAAAATAAGATCTTTGAATAAATTGTTGTACAATGTAAAGATAAATAATAAAAAAAAAAGAGAAAAGGGAGAGTCGAGGAGGAACTGAGAAGAGTAAATGGGCAGAGATCTGCACTTTGACAACAAGCAGTAGCAATGAAGTTGGTAGTAAAAATTAGAACCCTAACTTTTTAAAAAATTAAATTTTGGGTTCAACATTTTATTGAATGCTTCAAAAGAAATCAATAGTTTAGAGTACGACACTATATTTTTGTTACTTACAATGATCTATTTTGAAATTAATAGTCAGAAGTTGTTTTGGAGTATGACACTATTTTTTTATTATTTTCAAGTATCAATTTTCTGCTTTTATTGTTTGAAAAAGAATTTAGGAAAATCTATATAGAAAAAATTGAATTAAATGAGGGTAAAAGATAAGCATAAAGCACATTATTAATCCAAAATTAAAAAAATCAGAAAAATTGAATTAATCAAAAATCAATGTTGCAACTTGAATCCTTCAACTTTAATGAAGTATTGCACTAAAAATCTGAACATTTAGGGTGAAACTGATCTTGAAATTGCTTAATACGAAAGATGAAGAAGAAAAATAGGTTATTAGGTTCAAGGGGGAAGAGAAGAGTTTGATCCAATTTTTATTTTTTATGGAACTTTTAATTGGGTTTGGGTTAAGGGATGTGGGTATGGGTCAGGTGGGTAGGATAAAATTTTGGTGGGTTGATATTAAAATTTATCCAATAGAAAGATGCCACGTAATAATTAATAGAAATAATAATTCAAAAACAAAAGGCTGTTAGTTTTAAGGGTAATAATGGACCAAAAAGGTGGACTGAGGGGTATTTTTAGCCCAATAGATGGATAAGGGGTATATTTAAACCTTTTCTGATAGTTCAGGGGTATTTTTGGCCCTTTTCCATTAAAAAAAACCCATCCACCCGTCCCAACACCCAAACCCGTTTCTAGTGAGTCTAAGCCAACTGTTATCTCTGTTCATTCTTTCTTCTCCTCCCCCTTTCTCCCATCTGCCAATTTAACTTGATTTAATTTTTGTTTCCTTCCTTCAAATTCAATGTTTAAAAATTTATTTGCTTCTCATAATCAAGGCTAATCACGTAATCGCTATTGAAGATTGATTGCAAATCATTTCATGATGTGGACGCGGATATGTAAATTCCCACCTTGCGGCATCAGTAACCAACAATTTAAAATTTCAACAATATAATACGAGACTTGTTAATACAGTTCTAAACTTATTTTGGTCGAGAAATGGATAAGAAATCTACTGTGTAATTTTGGTGGATTTGAATCTACATTAGTTGTTATTTTTTTATTTCAAGCTTTCATTTTAATTTTTGTTTGTTGGGTTGAAAGTTGTTATTTTTTGGCTTAAAATCCATATTTTATTTATCATACTTGCTGCAATTTAGCTGTTAAAATGCATATTTTAAATGTTGTTTTGTTAAATATTGCAATGTACCTTTTTTTGGCCAGTTAAGTGCTGCAATTTACTGTTGTTTTTTAAAGAAAGAAAACAGAGGAAGAAGAAAGAGCAGAGAAAGGCTTAAAACTGATGGTGAAAATGGGTTTGGGTATTGGGATGGGTGGGTGGGTTTTTTTATTTGATAAAAAATTAGGTGGACCAATGAAAATTGGCCATTTGTTTAGTTAAACTCCATGTCATATTTCTGTTAATTAAAGGGTATTTTTGAACTTAAAAAAAGGTTTAGGGCATTTTTAAACCAATAATTGAAAGGAGAGCATTTTTAAACCATTTCTAATAGATTGAGGATTTTTTTTTACCCTTTCCATGTATATATAGTCCCTCCGTTTTAATTTATTGGTGATCTGACTTTTATTTAACATGTAGTATAAACAAATTAAAAATAAAAATAAAACAAAAGAATGGGCATAACCAATTAAGCATATCAGCTTCTTCAATGCTGCTGTTTAATTACTATTTATTTATATATGAATAATATGATGATGGCATTTCCCGGGAAGAGAAGTCACGTGATCATGTTATCGAGGAAGTGGTCAGTGAGAGGTTCCATTCCATACAATGCATGAAACAGCATCTCTCTAACCAACTTTCAAATTCTATGTATGCACTTCTTTCATTTTATGTTGATTATAAATTAGAAATTTTATAGAGAAAATAGCCAAAAGCCTCTTTAAACTATTATCCAATTCTCAACTACACACTTATTCATCACGAAAGATCTACTACTCCTTTCAACAATTTTAAAGTGGTCCCTAAATGATGATATGACAAAGAAAGTGTAGTTCACTCACTTTGAGAGAGTGAGAGGTAAAAACAATAATTAAAACTTTAATTTTAAAATTATATTTTTATTTTATATTGGTTTTCTGTTTTCGTTTTTGTTTTGTTTTGTTTTTAAAAATTTTAAGTTTCCTTTTGAGTTTTTGTTTTATTTTTTCTTTTTACCTTTTTTCTCTTTTTGTTTTCTCTTCACTGGAGCAACACTGGCGGCAACTCAGCTCCACCACCAAGTCGCCGCCCTCGTCAGCTTTCCATCATTAATCTGATTTTCATCTTCAAATCACAATTTTTTCACGTTAGATGAATTTCTCATTAGTGTGAAAAATTGACAATAGCTTAAAATCAAAATTGAAATCGAAAGTCAAGAGGATCAAATTTTAGTGTCATTAATGGAAAAAATTAGGAACCCTTGAGTGAAATTTATAAGTTTTCTTAGTTATATTATTATGACTTAACCACCGTACATAATTATCGCGCCATCAATCACCATCTACCTCCATCGTGAACTACCACATTCATTTTTAAAGTTGTTAAGCTCTCAATAATTTCAACTAAAATTTGAAATCCACTTTGAAAAATAAAATTTTGAAGTCTCCAAATATTGAACACTATCACTTTTTTTTGTGTTCATCACTAGTTTTCCACGCAACTCATTTATTGCATATCCTACCAAACAACATCAAAGGATAAATTTTTTACCATTAATCGACCCTTTTTAAATTCTTTTGTTTTTTTAAACAAGAATTATGATGAATTTTCAGTTGATGTTAAGAAGGTTTATGAAGAAAATTTCACTCAATGATTTCTAAATTTAAGTTTGTTTTGCTAGTTTGAAAAATCATTTGATCAAAGTTAAGAAAAAAAGGAGCAAGAAAGGAAAGAGAAGAAGGATAATATAAAAGAAAAAGTAGATTAAAGGAAAAAAATAATATTTTTTAATTTTTAAAAAGGTTAATTACGTGGCAATCGCGTGCCACTTACTTTTTTATATAAATCTTTTTTAAGGGGTGTATATTATACTTTTAAAATATTCAATTGGGTAATACAACTCCCGTAAACTATAAGTATGTAGTTAAGAATTCGACAATAAATTAGGGGGGCTTTTGGATATTTTCTCAAGCCTACAATCAAAGGATGAACACTGCTTCTAAAACTTGTACTTCATGCTGGAAACATAGTGGGGACAAGCAAGGGTAATTCTGTCACGATAAATTATTTACTTTATTGTAATGCACGTGTCCCTGCAATGACTGTAGAACTTCCAGGTTGCTTTTCTTTTCCCATTCCATCAAGCACGTGTCGAGTACTCTTCTTTTTTCACAATCTCATTCAGACCCTTTCTCATTTGAAGGCTTCACTTGGTATTTCAGGACGATCTGTAAATGTGGGTGATGATTCAACTTCATGAAATTAAGTATTGATTCGTATGATGTGGACGCTATTGAAGTTCCCAGTGCTCAGAAGAATGAAAAAATCATTGTTTTTGGTCTGTTTGTAGCGGTGGTGGTAAGGGTACTATAGCATTCCCTCTCCCCTTGGCCCTTGATGTTCTTCTTTTGTCATGTTCTTGTGGTGTATAATACTAATACACCATTTAATTTATTAGAAATGCATGCATGTGCCATGTCAATGTGATTAAGGGAAGGACATATTTTCCACGTTCTGAAATCTTATCATCAGAAAGGGTTCTGAAACAATGGTTTCTAAGCTCGGACTCTCCAAAAATATTGTCGCATTTGAAGAGTCTGAGCAACATAGCTTCTGACTATTAATCCTACTTAGTGTCTATATATTCAAATAAGAAAATTCACCCTTTACTCCTTTAGTCTTAATGCATGCATCTCTGATTGTTTTACATCCTCGTGGGATTATGGAAGAGATATATCAATTTATGGTTGGTAAATATAACAACTCAAATTACAAAGGTAAGAGAAAGATCTATGAAAACTACAATTTGGTCAAGGGAAATAATTATCTAATATACTTGGCTCTAAATTAAAGGAAAAGTACTAATCTTTGATATTATGTAGAAAGTGAAAGTTTTCGGCATATTTCTCTTGAATTGTACTTAACTGTTATTGAAGTAACTCAAGTAATTAATCGTTTCTATTATTGTGGAAGTTGTATGCAGGGGCGGACCCACGTGGTATCCAGGGGTTCACCCGAAATTACACTATATATAAGGTAAATTTTATGTATTTCTGTAGATATATATATTTTGAACCCCTCAATAACAAAGAGAAACTGATGGCGTAGTGGCAAGTACCCCTGAAATTAAGTTGTACGTTAGTGAAAGCGTTTTATTTTTTTCTTTTTCAGTTTCAGTTTTTTTTAGTTTTTTTTTTACTTTAAAAAATGTGCTAAAAGATTGGTTTTAAACCCAAAAGAATTCAAGCCCCCAAGGCCTAGCTCAAGTGGCAAAAGGTGGAGGATTTGTGGCTTCGGTCGCAGGTTCAAGCCCCACACCATGCAAAGCGAAGCCCGGTATTTAAGTGGAGAAGGGTAGAGGGGCGGACCCATTATCCACCGAGTTTAGAAGGCTGTGATTGGTCCAAAGGGAGGGTCACAGACGGATTTCTCGGTTATCGAAAAAAAAAAAAAACCCAAAAGAATTCAAGGTTTCCATTTCTAAAGACTTATTTACACGTTTATATTTTTACGAAAATCCTAGATCCGCCACTGGTTGTATGAGGTAAAGGTACGGATTGTTTTCAGTTTGTTATGTTATTTTGTATATGAAATATGGATCTTTGTGAAAATAAAAGTTTGACTATATTATAATGGAGGTTGTATTGAATTTTTCCGGTTTTGAAACAATTGAACTTTAGAAATTTAAACTTTCCTGGAATTTTCATATTCTTCGGTTTTGAATGGTTATAAGGAAAAGTAGTTATCAATCTTTTAGCACAATGAAATAAGTTTAGAGGTATTAGCTTTAGTAACATAAGTTCTTATATTTCACTATGTGAGAAAATCTTGGAGCTTTGTAGAAATCATTGTTATTATTAGTTGATTTCAGTTATAATATCATCATTAATGTTTGATTGGGTGATTCCTCTCAGTTTTTCTAGAAGGATAACAAGAATGATTTGATAACAGAGGATGATAATAAAAGATCATAAACATACACTTGGAATGAGGGACCTTCCGAAGGGCACTGAAGAGATGATCATATATTTTGTTGACACTGAAACGAGGTATCGAATTTATACACACACATAAAGAACATGACCCTTGAAATCAAGTTATGGAGAAAAAGGCATTTACTTCTTTTTAAATGCGAAACAAGTTTTTTTACTGCTAGACACAACTTGAATAAGCCTTACATCTTTAAAACAAATTCTAAAACTTCAACGCTCCTCCGCCTACTTAAATCATACTAATCCACAAGCCAGCAGTAAAAGATAAGATAAAATAACAAACAGAGAAGTACTATAACATTACTGAAAACTGCAAAGATTCCAAATGCTAATAATTTATCCATATGCAGAATTTAAAGAATAATAGCTAGCCTTAAGTTGCCTCTAAACATTGCCTCTAAAGAATTTTACCTTTTGGAGCGCAGCCAACTGAGACGATGACGAGTTGAAAAGCTTTCCACCACCACCAACAACTACTCAAAAATAACAGAAGAAGAGGACCTTTACTCTAAAAATGATCCTTTTTTTTCGACCGTAAAAGAACTAGGGCAGATTTGTGGGGGGATGAAATTGAATTCGAAATTCAAATTCTCGCTAGAGGATAAGGTTGGCAACGGATTTCTTGTACGAATTTGAATGGACAAGGAGATTGTAACACCTGGAGTCTTCTCCAACGTTCAATGGGATCGCTCGGATTCTCTGATTTCAGTCGCGATTTGGGTTTCAATTGAAGGAAGAAGAAGAGTATTGTTTTGATAGAAGATTGGGCTGGAAATGATAAAAAGGCCCCAACGGTTGGTTGAAAACAAGGTTTGTCAATAGATTGCAACTATAGCCATTCAAGTTCAAATGTAGCCAAATTGAATTAATTGGTGAAATCGGCTAAATTTTAAATAAGACGAATTAATTAATGAGCTTCTTAATTTCAACGAAATAAAATAATTAATTTAAAATTATAACCATAATTTGAACTAAACTAAATTAACAAAATATTTAACTAAAACGTACTAAAATCTTTTGTGATAATTTTCAAATATTCATAAGGTGAACTAATTATATAAAACATACTTATTATTCAAAAATTAATTAAAAATAACTTCAAAAAATATTTTGAATTTTTATATAATTAATTATTCCAAATCGTTTGAAATTAAAGAAGCTCGAAAATTCATTCCTATTCTGGAGGGTCAAAATTGGGTGTCAATATATATATAATAAAACTTTCTTATTTTTTTGCAATTGGACAAGTACACTGAATCATTTATCTTTGATATAGGAGCAAGAGATATGAAATTGAACAGCCTAAAAAAATAATTAAATTATGAAGAATCAAAAATGGATGTCAAACATATATACAATTGTCCCTTCCTTTGGCTAAGGTCGATTAACAAGCTTTAATTTGGAAAAAAAAAATTGACTAATTCAATTTTATCGAATCACTAATTCATCACTTGAAAAAGGTAATTGGTATACAAAATTTAAGGAATTTTTTGTCAAATTCGATATTGAATTTTCTACATATCTCGAATTATGTAAAAGTTCAAATCACTTGTATACAATTCAAGATCTTGATTTAAAGCATGATTTCAAAAATTTTAAAACTTATTATTCCAACTTTGGAGTATAGAGTTACCGAGAGCTTGAGAGTAAGACGAGTGGACGTAGAACGGAAAAAAATCGTCCTTCTTTGATTCCTCAAAAATGACATAAAAAGAGAAATCAAATTAGAAAATATTTGACCAAGTAAATAGGGACGGAAGGAGTATCCTCAACAGTCCCAAATGTCAACATTAAATGCAAATCAAACCGTAAAAGCTCAATAATCTTAATCAGTACAAATCAAATTAATATAATCGCAAGTAGCCACTAACAATAACCTACTTAGGCTTCATAGCTACAGCATGTTAATTTCGATTCATAACTATATGTTACAGGGAGGAGAGAGGCGAGCAAGAGAGGGTAGAGAGTGGAGAGAGGTGAATTGTATTTATACATTTATTGACTTGCATATGTATAATTGTATATATGTAATTGATATACATATGTATTTGTATATTTGGCGAGCGAGATTGGGAGAGGGAGAAGAGAGGTCAGAGAGTGGAGAGATTAAAGGCGAATTGTATTTGTATATATGTTATATAATTGTATATGTATATATATAATTTGTACTTATATATGTATAAGAGTGAAGAGAGGCGAGATAAAGGAAAAAAGGAGAGAGGCGTACGTAATTATAGCTAAAAAGAGATTACTAATGGCACTTAATTCAAACTATTACCAGGAGGTGCAAGTTTCTTAAACGTCTTTATGGGATTTACTAAAGAAATACTAAATTAATTTGTTGTGTAATGGCTTATATAATCCCTCCGTTTTAATCTATTGGTAATATGAATTTGATTTAACACGTAGTTTAAATAAAATTAAAACAAAAGAATGACATAACTAATAATCAAACATACTCTCTTTGTTTTTTTTTTTACATGTCATTTTTATTATAAATAGTTGGTTTATAATATTTGTTATTTCATAAAATCAATGCATAAATTATAATATTTTTTCTATTTTATCTTTGTGAGTTATTAGCCTTGAAAATATATATTTGACCAACAAAGAAAAAATTAAGTAAATAATTCATGTCCATTGGTTAAATTAATTGATCAAAATAAATTAATTCATATTTATTAATTGAAAAATTAACTTTAAAAAAATAAAATAAAAATAAAATAATAAACTTACTTAATTTTTTAATGCACGTAAAATAAAAAATCGTGACATATAAATTAAAATAGAGAGAGTATTAGCTTCCTCAATGCTGGTATTTAATTATTTATACTACATATTAATATGATGATGGCATTTCCCAAGAAGAGAAGTCACGTGATCATGTTATCGAGGAAGTGGTCGGTGAGAGGTTCCATACTTCCATTCCATACAATGCATGCATCAAACCGCATCTCTCTCTAACCAACTTTTAATTTTGACCATCATCAATACAATTATAGTTATGCACTTCTTTCCTTTTATAATATTTTTCTCATCTCGATTCAATAAATTAAAACTTTCTTTTTAAGAGTGTGTCTATTAAACTAATTTTAGAAAAAATTGTTCTGGCCAAAAAATTTAGTCAGAATATGATCAGAATGATAAAATAACATATTTTACACTATTTTATTTTACCTTTTTTGAACATTTTATTCTTTTAATTAAAAAATGAAAAAAAAAACAGCTTATTTTAAAATAAAAAGGATATTATAGACTTTTCAATTTTCTGGCCAAATTCTGACCAAATATTCTGGTCATAATATTCTAAAATTTTAAATTTGATTTTTACTATTTTATTTAGTTATTAAATATTTATACGAATAATAATTTTTTTAAATTGGACAAGTAAAATGAATCATTTGTTTTTTATATGGGGGGAAGGGAATATGAAATTGAAGAGTTTGAAAAATTAATCAAATTGTGGATGATAAAAAATAGGTGTCAACATATAATTGTCCTGTCTTTTGGTTAGGGTTGATGAAAGAGACTAAGAGAGTTTGAACAAAGATTCAAATTTATCGAACCACTAATTTATCACTTGAAAAAAGTAATTGATATATGAAATTTAAGATTTTTTTTGTTAAATTCGATACCGAATTCTTTACATATCTCATGTTATGTGAGCCACTTATTTACAATTCAAGATGCTTGATTTAAAAGATGATTTTAAAGATAAAAACCTATTATTCCAACTTTGGATTATGGAGAGACAAAGAGCTTGAGAGTTATAAGACGAGTAGAGATTTCTTTAAATACAATTAAATTTTGAACATTGAATTCAACCTACATATCTCGAAATTTGTGAAATCAAATTACTTATAGTTTGACTTAATCGATTAAAAAGATGATTTTTTATGCTAAAATGGTCTTTAGTTAAAAATGAATGACAAATAAATTGAATATAAAAAAGAGACTTACAACCTCTTAATTATAAATAATGTGCACTTTACACTGATCATAAGATACAAGTTACATGAACATAATCTCCACAGCTCAAGGTGCTTGGGAGAGCCATTTAAAAAAAATTGGTTATATGATTACCTGTTTTTTCAAATTATTTTATTATATCATTTATTCAACTTTATTTGTTTTTCAAAAGTCATTCAATTTTATCTACTAATTAATTAGCTTCCATAGTCATTCAACTTTACTTATTTTATTTTCATGATCATTCTAGTAGGAAATACAATTTTCAAAAAAAAGTTATTTAAAAAATTAAAATTAATTAATAGTTAGATTTATTTAGAATCCAAACAGCGTAATCTGATCCAATTCTTGACTTTTAAAATGATTGACTATCTAAACATGTTCTTAATAACATTCAATTAAAAGGCCATCACTTAATTTGCTATTTTTCCAAAGTTAGAAATCATATATGAGCTCAATATCGAGTAAAATAAGTAGACAATTGAGATTTCATTCTAGATCTAATATTTTAATTTAAAAATATTATATATCTAAATCGATCACAAAAACTAGTAATCCTCTATATGCCTAGTCCAAATTTCTTAACCAACATGAGATAATCTAACAACAAAGGAAAACATGGGTGTTCAAAGAAAAGCAATGGAGTAATTTTGAGACAGCTTATTCCCCTTCAACTGCGGTGTACGGATTAGACGCAGGAGAGAATATAGTGAATATGGAATCTCATTTATGAAATTCTTTTTCTAGTTTTACTAAAAAAGTCATTTTCCTTTTTCTTTTCTAACAAAATATTTTTCAAAAATTTTATACGATTTAATATGAACGCACCCTTTGAGCTATCAATTTTTTCAAACTTTTAAAAGAGAAAAAACGAATTATAACTTCATGTAAGCCGTCAAATAGGTATTTTATTAGTAGTGACTTCAATTTTATGTAGATTTCATGCTTTATCTTTGTGTAATGAGTAAATTCCCTATTTTTATTGAATATTATTCCTACAAGGTATCAAAGAATGTAAATGTACAAATCGAATATCATCATGAGCTATCAATTTTCTAAATATTCTTAAACATTTGTTTTTTCAAGACAAAATAAAGAGAGAGATAATTACTTTTTTTTTGTTTAGATTTATGTGTCTTATTTTTATTTGTAATTATTTAAAAAATAGTTTCATTTTTCATATAAAGTTAGGCTTTAATTTATATTCCATATTTGTATTTATCACAAATTTTAAAGCGGTAAAATAAATTACAATTATAAATAAAATATGATGATACAAGGATTTTGATAAATTTTTGTGAGTACACAATTTTGTTTCTCCTTGATTTTTCTCTTAGAGATTACCTCAGTAATTGAAAAATTGTTATAGCATATTTTTTTGAATGTATGATGATTGAACCTCATTGTGATGTATTTGATCGCTTAAAATGTTGGACTCGATAACTTGAAACGTTGGACGGCAATATTGACTAAAAAATTTGATGTGTTGAAGTATTCTTTATGAATATCCCGACTTTATGGAATTTTGAAATGTTTTTTCAAGGAAATATATTGTTCATTTTTATAGGTATAAGCTAAGATTTAGAGTATAGTAGCCTCCAAGAAATTATGAAGTCTACCATACTTGTATAAATTATTACAAGATTTATGAGATATTATGATATATTAACCACATTTTTTTGGCTTAAAATAATAATATTCAAAAATCTTCCCGATTTTCTTAAACTTATTACGTCAAGACACATAAAATTATTGAGGAAGTAATTTGTTGCTATTTCACAACTTTGAACCGTCAAACTAGTATTTCATAGTACTACTCGTTTGATCACTTTTACTTGTCCATGATGTTAAATATAAATTTTTATTTTCACTTGTCTATTTTTGCATATCAATTGAAAAATAATCTTTTTTTCTTATTTTACTCCTAACATTAGCCACTATTTCCTCTAATTATTTGCCCAAGATTTTTTGAAATGCTAATAATTATAATAGTTATTATAATAAAATATGCACTTCACTTATTATATTTGATAAAAAAAATCTAAAGGTTTATTATGAATAAATAAAAGCGAACAGAACGAGTAATTTATTGTTTAGGCGGGTTTCATGCTTTTTGCTTTGTGTAATGAATAAATTCCGCTACTTGTATATTGAATATAAGTATGTAATTATTCAAGATCGAATATCATCTTCAGCTATCAATTTCCTTTTCCCAATATTCTTACACATTTGGGTTTTCAAGATGGAAATAAAAGAAAGAATACTCTAAGGACTTGTTTCAAACGAGAGAAAATGAATACTAGATCTATGAGTAACTTATTTCGCAATTAATTTTAATATGTATTTATCTCATGTTTGATTGAGATAAAATTATAAAATTAATTATTTCGAAATTAAAATGTTATTTTTATTCTATATTAAAAATAAAATAACAATTCTATAATTAATGTCGAAATAATTTTTTTTCCAAACAAACGAGTGAAAGAGAGCGAAAAGTACATGGAAATGAGTGAAAGAACGCTATTGGATTGAGATTAATTTTGGACTTGTTAATTTAACCGCTAATCATGTCGCTAGTACTCAACCTAATTTACATCTTTTGCTTCTTAATTAAGGAACCAGACGCTTTATTTAAATATTTGAATGCTCTCATCGTCCCTTTTTACTCGTTAAATTTTGACTGACACACAAAAAATAATAATTAATGCAATGAATTTATCATTTTATCTCTATTAATTGATAGGAATTGTCAGAAATGACAAGTACTCCCTTCGTTCGCTACTACTTGTCATTGTTTGACTTGACACATTCATTAAAAATTATTATTGTTATAGGTATTTTATCAAACGATTCCTATTAAATGATGTTACTACCTCCGTCCACTCCTAATTGTCATAGTTTCTTTTTATAGAGTTAAACTATAAAACTTTTGACTAACATTTTATGATGTATATTTTCATCATATTGATATACGAAAAAATTGCAATTTATAGTTCTTTTCGTATTGGTTTTAAATATCTAATTTTTTTGTATAAAATATCGAATTGAACTTTGAAAATTAGTCAAATTGACTTTATAAAAATGCAATATGGCAAATAAAAGTGGATGGAGGGAGTATTAAGTCGTGGAAACTGATTCGGAGAAAGAATATTTAATGATGAAGCTAAACTATGGAAATTTTTTTTATCTTTTCTTGATATGTCAAAACTTAAAATAGATAAGTATAAATGGAAATTTATTTTAGAAATAAGTGAAAAGTAAAAGTGGACGAGAAATAAAAGGAGAAATCAAATTAAGAAACGAGTATTTGACAAGTAAATCGAGATGGAGGAGTATCCTCAACAGTCCCAAATGTCAACATTAATTGCAAATCAAACAGTTAAAGCCCAATAATCTTAATCAGCACAAATCAAATTAACATAATCAACATGAGAGAAATATTAATTGTCCACTATATGACCATTAGAGTCTGCCTCCTGCGTCTTATGACCAGTCGAATCTGCCTCATGGTCAATATTAGCAGTCTCTTTGCTGCGCTTCTGGTGAGCTAAATCAAGAAAACAGGGAGTCAGCATTTGTTCATATTCAGGCACTTTAGCATAACCAGGGAAATAATTGATATCAATAATTAGATACCGATTTCCATCTCTACTATCTCTTATCATGTCAAAATTGAAAAGATGAAGTTTCAAAGCACGTCGTAACTGCTTTGAAACTTCGTTAACGAAGCTTGATGGAGGCATAACTGCTGCCTCCATCAGCTTCGCTAAACTCTCATCGCTCTGGTCATTATCAGCGAAGTAAGAAATCAGTGAAAACGGAATCAAATTCTCCGAATTCCCCAATTTCTCTTCGGTTATATCACCCAACGACTTCCTCTTCACGCATTTCACATGATCCCCTGCTACATAAACCTTGAAAATCACTCCCCCGTGGTTTACAAATTCCTGTAATACGATTGGGGTTTTAATTCCGTTTAATCCGTCGCCATTCAACACTAGAGACATCTGATGAGCGTCAGCTGTAGCATTAGCAATCACCGCCTTTGCAATCAGGGGAAATTTCATCCCCTGATTAGCAATTTCATCCTGCAGGCTTTCGTTGGAGTCAACGAAAGCCTGCAGGGGAATTTCTAGATTTTCAATTTTCAATTGCTTAACTGCATCGAGCATGGAGACTCGATTGTGGAGCTTCTCGATGGATTCAATCGGGTCGACTATGATAGCAGTGGGGTTTTCAAGTGAAAATTCTTCCAATTGCTTCTTCCATTCTGCATCGTAGAGCTTGTGGAAAACAGAGTCGAAAGGACCTTGTTCGATCAATGGTTTTTCGAGATCGATTGGGATGAGATCAATGCCTCGTTTTTCAGCGTAAACGATGAGAGAATCTTGGATGAAGCTACTTACACTTCTGGGTGCAAGAGCGTAACCAATGCGGAACCTCTCTCCAGCTAATAGTGATTCAGGCATGGCTGCTAAAGCGTATGAATGAATATTTATCGCTCGATCTCAGAATTATATTGAAAGAATTCTTAACGTGGAAAGAACAAGTGAATGAACAAAGAGGAAGAGAGGATTTTACGAACTGAGTGTGAGATAATATTTTGATATTGGGAGTCTATTTATACAGAGATGCGAGGAGGACAACATGAGATTATATATATTAAAACAAATAAGACTTTAGATATAGCTTTGCATTTGCATCGTATTAAGAAAATATTATTATTTGATTATTCGATTTTAATTTGGTTGACTGAATTTTGATTTTTAATTTAGAAATAAGAAAATAGTAGTACTAGTTTGGTATAATAATTACTTTTCTTAATCCAAATCTAATGGAGTACTTTTCAATTATTTTAGTAGAGTAGAAAAGAATGGAATCTACATTAATTTATTTTCCTTTTTAAGTTTTAAGTAGGATTTATAAGGAAAATAATATATTTTTTATTTTATTATACATTATTTTTTGGAAAAGATCAAAAATACCTTTAAATTATGTGAAATGAATAAAAATGTCATTTGTTTATATTTTGATTTAAAAATATATTTGTTGCCAATATTTTGATTTAAAATGTCCTTAATTATTGCTACTTAATGAGTCAAAATAGTCTTTTTACTTATTACTTAAAAGTGGTTTTAAATGAAATAAAATGAGAATACGGTTCTTTAAAAGTAATATTTTTATCAGGAATAGGAAGTGTTTAAGAAGAAAAAATTAGTTCAACATACTGTCTTATATTGTTTACTGCATTTATCAGGTCAAACAATTATCTAGGTGAGGTTTGTTCACCTTAGAAAGTGGCCTGAGAGTTAAGGAACTTTAGGAATAAGTTTGGAAGTTTGTTTAGTGGAATAAAACACTATAAGCTAGGAGTTTTATTAAAAGGGAGTTAGTTAATACAGAGTCAATACACGCTCTATTTTTCTCTTGTAATTCAGAAACTATATTTTCTATTCAAGAAAAGCTTTCGGCGGTTTCTTTTTGTTCCTGTCTTCTCTCTTTTGTTATAAATTCTGGAAAAAAAAAATAGTTTTGACTCATTTAGCAACAATAGGAGAATTTATGGATCAAACTCTATTAAAGACAAGAAGATTTTTTTTGGGCAAATTACAGAAATTACATATTTTTAAGGCAAAATTACAATCTATCCCTTAAAAGTTTATAATTACAGAAATACTCAAATGGATACAACAATATAAGCGCTGATACATTAATCTGATGGCGAGATACATTAATCGTTAAGTAATTATACATGATACACTAATCTGATATACATTTTATACATGATACACTAATTTGATGCGCGAAAATGAGGGATTTTGGAGATTTGTAAAACTTATAGGGGATTATGGTAATAAGTAAACTAAAAGGTGGGATTTTTGTAATTTTTCCTTTTTTGTTATTAAAGTATTGATAACAAGGACATTTTTGTACCAAAGTATAAACAGAAAATATTTTTATTTATTTCACATAGTTTTAAGACATTTTTTACCCTTTTCAACATTATTGTTTATGAATAGTGATATAATCCTATATATTTTGATTCAATGCACGAAATAATTAAATAAATTTATTTAGTTTTACTCTCTCTTTCGTTTTCTCACTAATTTCTCTTATTTCATAGTAATAGACATCAAGATTACATGAAAATATAAGAAATACAGAAAAAAATTGCATACTTCCATCGTTTTTGTTTTCTGTTTTAGAAAATCAATGAACCGTGTCTCGATTCTTAAAATGCAAAACTATAAAATATTTCATCAAAAAGCGCGCACAGTAAAATGCTAGAAATAATTCAATATCATACTCCCTCTGTCCCTAATTACTTGTCTACTTTTGAATTGACACACCTATTAAGAAATCAATTAATGACATATTGAGTTTACCATTTTATCCCTATTAATTATGAAGTGCATGAAAAGTTTTGCATTTTTCAAAGTAATTAGTTATTTAATTGATGGTATAATAAGTAAAATAAAATTGTCCTTTCTTGATTTGTCAAAATGGACAAGTAATTAGGGACAACTATAAATGGAAAAATGGACAAATAATTAGGGACAGAGGGAGTATTAAATATTTGAATCAATCCCAAATTGCTTTAATTTATTTTAAAATATTTATGAAAAAACTAGGAAACTTCATCGATTTTGTAAAAGCCGATTTGTTTTTAGTATTCTTAGTAGTAGGTAGCTTTGTTAAAAGTGTACGTAAGTGGGAAATTAAAGCAGAAGACGACATGCATGGCAATAGAAAATAGATAGTGGCTTCGCTATAAAGTGTAATTGCAAAATAATTGATTTAGCAGAAGATAACATGCATATATCAATAGAAAATAACTACCTTTATTTAAATTAGTAATTTTCAATAATTAGGTACTTATAGCTACTCTGTAAAGTGAGATAGTTTGAATAAGCAATTTAAAAGAAAACATGACAATTAATGGAATAGATAATAAAATAAAATAAGCTTTTGCTAAAGCACAAATGCGAATAAGCATATTACAACACATAAATAGTAGAAAGTATATAGTAAATTATATATGGGAATAAAAAGATGAACAACATGCAATATTTAATAAGAAAAAGATTTGGGAATCTCAACTTTTTATTTAAAAAATTGTATTTTGGTCGTTCTCTACTTTGAAATTTTGTTACGATTCATGTAATAGAATACTCCCACTATCCCAAATTACTTATCCATTTTTGAATTGGCACATCTATTAAGAAATCAATTAATAACATAAGAGTTTACCATTTTACCCCTATTAATTATGAAGTTGATGAAAAGTTCTGCATTTTTCAAAGTAATTAGTCATTTAATTGAAGGTATAATAGGTAAAAAAAAAATATCCTTTCTTGATTTGTCAAAATGGACAAGTAATTAGGGACAACTATAAATGGAAAAGTGGACAAGTAATTAGGGACAGAGGGAGTAAAAAAGAAAGCCTTTAAAAAGAAATCTTTCGTTTCTATTTTATTATTTTTTGCATGAAGTTAATTAGTATCATAGGTGGAGCCAGGATTAGGAATTCTAAATTTTTGGACATAAAAGAAAATATTTTCGAACCCAGATCACTAGTGTGGAAAGCATTTCCATGACACCTTCCTTATCATTGAGCCGTCAATCAATTTTGTTAGGGGATTCACAAGTTAATATACATTTTTATTTATTTAATTTTCTAATACAAATATAGCATCTACGAAAAAGTTATTGGGTTCGTCCGAATCCACGAACCCCACTTAGTTCCGCCTCTAATTAGCATCCATTTTAAGACTCGACTAATTTATATTGACATCAGAATCTCACTTTGAGAGGTAAAACTCTCTCTATCAAATAAGGCTTCATACAAATTTAGTATGTACTTATATAATAATCCCTCTGTTTTAATTATTTGTCTTATTTTAACTTGACGTTGAGTTAAAAAATAAAGATAACTTTAATTTGAATCTTATAGTCTTAAATTAAACATACATAAAATGTGTCAAAATACCCCAATCTTGTGGCTAATAAATATGTCACTTCAAATGTTATAATTAAGAAATTATTAAAACGAAAAAGAGACAAAAAATAAAAAGAGAAATAAGACAAACAGACGTAAAAATAAGTAAGTGCGTGAGAATAGTGCCCACGCGGAGTGCTAGATACTCGACGATAGGTTTTCTTGCGTCAAATATAGTCTACAATTCGATCAAGTTGTGCTTTGTCAATATTAGTGTAATTTGTTCTAACATGCATGTGATATGTCAATTTCAGTACAATTGGAATTGATCCCTCCATATTTGAGCAATTCATATTGTCTAAATTGACCTAAACAAATTATAGGAATAACATTTTATTGATTTGGTTTATGTTCATTCACTTCCTATCTTGAAAATAAAATGAATTGATAATCAAAACAAAATTTCAATGGTAAATATATTCACGGTGTAAAAATATATTTACAAAATCAAGTTACTTTAGTGCAAATCTATTTAACAAAACATTAATGGATAAGTTTAGGATAAATGATGTTGTTAAGCATATTATGAATTCAATAAATGAATGTTTATTTGAAATAATCTCTAAATATTATTTTCAAATATTTGAATGAAGATTTATGTCAAGGTCTATGGTCAAATGGTCCTAGATAGACGCGACTTGAATTTTGTTTAAACGAATCTACTATATATTATATATATAAATATAAAAGAATCATGTTTACCACGAGGTAGGCACGTAAAGGAAAATATTCACTTGCTTTTATAGGATTGAAAAGAAATAGTTTTTGCCAAATTTTTGAAGAAGAAAAAAAATCATAGTATAATTTTTAGTACTGTTTGACTTCTTATTGTATATTTCTTCTACAATTTAATTTTAAGAAACTTACAAAAATCACATTAGTATAGGAGCTAAGTACTTAGATGCTCTTTAATTTGCAATACAACGAATTTTATTAAATTTTGATGTGTTCAGATATATCTAGATACATTAATCTTGAGATAGATGGAGACAAAATTAGATGTAATTTATTTTAGATACATTGTATCTAAGTAGATTCACATGTATATGAAATACATAGAATAATCTCGTTCGCCACTCTCATAGGTAGCTGGTATCACAAATACATGTGAATCACACTAGATACATACTAATACTAGTATCTAGTGTAATTCACATGTATCTGAGATACATGACTATCTCCCTTCCCATCTCGCTCGCTCACCTCCCTCCCTATTTTAGGTAGCAAAAATACACACACATGTATATATAAAATCTTCCTCATAGCAAAATTTTGGATTAAAACCTTTTGATTTATCTTAATTCTCTTACTGTTTCTCCCAATCCATCGAAGACTAGGAGAGTGATCAACATAATTCAATAAACGCAGCCATTGATTCCATTTAAATAATACAAAGCAAAAATGATGATGTTCATTCTTAAAGTAGAAAACTACTTTAGTTTCATACATTTTATAAAATTAAAGAAGTAACTTTGACCAAATTTTGTGTTTCTCAAAATCTTAAGACTAAGCAAATTTGCGTATACGTTAGGTTATCTATATGACTAGATACGATTTGTCTTTCATTTATCTAAGTTTTTTTTTTTTTTCTTTCTCTTTTTTCTTTCAAACAACAAGATAAAAGGTCATATGCAGTAAGTGCCCGTTTGGATTGGCTTATTTTAGGTGCTTTTAAGCCAAAATAGCTTTTAAGCAGTTTTGAAGTGTTTGGGTAAAGTTAAAAAGTGCTTATAAGCACTTATTTTAAAGCCAAAATAACAAAAATAAGCCATAAGCTAGGAATTAGGATTTTGGCTTATAAGTCATAAGCCAAAAGCCAATCCAAACAGGCCCTAATACTACTTTCATCAGGGGATACTATAGGTACGAGGTCTGGGAAATTTTTTTGTTTTCTTTCAAGTGTCCACCCGTGTGGAGGCTCGACTAATCTAGATTCACAAGTCTTACTTTGAGGGTAAAACACTATCTAATAAAGACAATTTTATTTCTCGAGCTCCACCGACAAAACTCTGATTAAGAATAAAAGAGTATTTACTACCTGAATGCAATACTGATGGGTAATATAAATTAGTACTCATAAGGCGAGGTTGACCACCTAACCCATTTACACATCCCATGTTTACACCTTCATGATATGAACATTACACTCTAATTATTAACTTACCTATTTCCCATGATTATGGCATGACTGTGTTCCTTTTTAAACAATGATAGTGTTTGGACTAGACTTCATATCTTTCTCCGGCACACACACGAGTATCAAGTAACTATATCAACCAAGGATTAAGTAAATAAAAAACAAAATCACCTAATTTTCCTCTCTTTATTGTGATTGTGAACCCAGTACTCGAGTCCAGAAAAAACAGTCAAGAGTTCAATGGGGTGAAAACACACAAGAAATTTATTACTTGAAGTTTACAAACTTTCCACAGCTAGCTCTGCAGTTTCTATGGAGTACTTTAAGACTCACAAAGGGCTAACCAAGACTCATGGTTGGCCTATCGGCTAATAAATTTGATGGGACTCAACACTCCTCTCTTGTAATATCTCATATCTTACCTCAGCACTAATAGAAGCTTCAAGCCCGAGTTATAAGAGCAACCACCATCAGAAGAAGGAAAAGTTAAGTTGCAAACTCAAAGCGGGTCCATTTGTCATGACTTCCAAAAAGAACAAAGGCTAGCTTCAAGAGAACAACAATCATCCATTACAAAAGAAATCTCAATTCCGGATATGTTGTTTCTTTATTTCAAGCAAATAGTGCTCCTCCCCCCCCCCCCCCC